GAATTCTTACCAGACGAAATTTTCAAAATAAGACGAAAGAAGAAAAAATGTGAAAACTTAACCTTGTAACATGTAAAAATGAATGTAGAACAGCGATTAAACAAATGTAAAGTGCCCAAATAGTATGAAAATTTAGGTAGTGTCAGCAAATGTCCAAACATTATAATTAATAAAGTGGTATTAGCAAATGTCAAGGAACACAGACAGACAGACGAGTGTCATTATGGAAAATATAATTTAAAAATAGATGAAATATGAGATCACTATTCATTGTGATTGTATTATTATTGTCGCTGTTATTGCATACATACCACTTCTGATCTTTAATATATTCACCTCCATCTACCCTCCTCTCCTTCACTCATTCTATCTCAATTCATCTTCTCCTCATCGTATCTCTTTCCCTCTCAGTTCTCCTTCCCTCCTACCACTTCCTTATTTCCACACCTTCATACCATCCCTCATCCGCTTTATCTCCCTCTTTATCCCTCCTCCCTCTCGTCTGATTTCCCTCACTCCTACTTCTCTCTTCCCCACACCTATTATTCCTTCTCCTTCACTTTCCTTCACTCCAACTTCTCTCACTATCATTTATTTTCCTTCTTTAGTCTCTCTCGGTCTCTCACTCTCTCTCTGTCTCTCACTCATTCTCTCTCTCTCTGGCATCAGTTTCACCTCTGTGGAGTCGCTCAGGCAATCCGTCGATCAAAAACAAACGAACAACACAAAGCGTCCATTGACTTGCCTCCTGGCTAGGGCGACCACCTCGTTTTTTTTCTCTTTTTTTGGTATTTGTCTTGTTTTGTATGTGTGTTTTTCTGTATTGTTTTATATATGTGTTTGCCTTGATTTTCCTTTTCGTGTTTTTTTGTTTTATCTCTTTATTCGCTTTTTTTTAATTTATCTTATTTTATGTTTTTGTCTTATTTGATAAGTGAATTTGCTTTGTTTTCTCTGTGCATTTGTTTTGTTACATTTGCATAGTTGTTTTTGTTTCATTAGTGAATGAATTTTGTTATGATAGAAAATATTATGTACTACCTAATTTGTCTTTGTTTTCTCGTCAGTAAGTTTTAGACTTTAGAGTGAATACAAAACCCTTAAACATTTATATTGCTTAAGATCTGATATACAGTAGGTTCTTCGTGGACTTTGTCACCAGGATTATAAGGTTGAATTCTGAGATCCCGAGAAACTTGGAAGACGGGTTCTACCCTGGGTTGTCATCTACTGTAAGATCAAGATACATATGAAAATATTATGAGGAAGAATAGATTGATCACATGTGGATGTTTCAGAGTAAAGGAATTGTGTATTAGTGTGGATGAAAGATTTTTTCGGTTTTGTTTCTGGTATGTTTTATAAAGTTTAAGAACTGTAGTGTATGTTAGTTGCTCGGTGTTAATGATGTCTTTATTGTCTGGAGGAGGGTTGGTTATGTTCGGTTGCCTTTAATTGTCCTTTGGGGGTAAAAAAAATATCAGTAGAGAGTGTTGGGTTATTTTATAGAAATTGACGAGTTTCAGGAAAAGTGAGAAGAATTTTCTTAAACCATCTTACTCAACTTTGACCCAGTGACAGGTAGTGTGAGTCAAGGAAAACGAAGAGAAGGAGGAAAAACAAAGGTACAGTAATGAGATGAATATACAGAAGGCATAGTAACAGTAAGAGTGTAGGACGGTCAGGGATATAGATCAGGTCTGTGACTAAATGATTGAAGACATTTATAATAAAAAAGGGTTTCTGCTTTGAGTCCTTATATATCCATAAAAAACAAAAGAGTCAAGTTATATTGTCACTGAAATCTCCAAAGATGATTATGTCAACAAGGTGATTGGTGGAAAGGATGGTGTGTGTGTGTGTGTGTGTGTGGCATCAGTGTGTAGTGGATGTGGTTGTGTGTGTGTGTGTGTGTGTGTCTGTGTGTGTGTGTGTGCATCAGTGTGTAGTGGATGTGGTTGTGTGTGTGTGTGTGTGTGTGTGTGTGTGTGTGTGTGTGTGTGTGTGTGTGTGCATCAGTGTGTAGTGGATGTGGTGTGTGTGTGTGTGTGTGTGTGTGTGTGTGTGTGTGTGTGTGTGTGTGTGTGTGTGTGTGTGTGTGTGTGTGTGTGTGTGTGTGTGTGTGTGTGTGTGTGTGTGTGTGTGTGTGTGTGTGTGTGTGTGTGTGTGTGTGTGTGTGTGTGTGTATGTGTGTGTGTGTGTGTTGTGTGTGTGTGTGTGTGTGTGTGTGCATCAATGTGTAGTGGATGTGGTTGTGTGTGTGTGTGTGTGTGTGTGTGTGTGTGTGTGTGTGTGTGTGTGTGTGTAGAGAGCAGCAGCTCGAACATGGGCTTATAAACAACCCAACAGAAACAACGTGAATCCCAGTGCCGAATGGGATACTCTTAATACTGTTATGACAAAAACCTGCAAGAGACCCTCGGCCAGTTCAAAAGAATACTCCAGGACTATTTTGATGGAAATGACCCGGCAATCAAAGTACTCATCGATGATAAACGTGCTGCTTTTACTGACTGCCAGAACAACTCTCAGTCTCCGACCAAAGCTGATACCTTTCGCAAGAAGAAAGAGGCAGCCCAGCGGGAACTTCGCAATCTAAAGAACGACTGGCTTAAAAATTAAGCATGTGAAGCACAGAAACTTGCAGATCAGCACAAGATGCACGAATTTTTCATTTCCACTAAAACATTTCATGAGCCAGTCACTCATGGCACAGCCCCACTCCGCTCATCTGACGGTAACCACATAATTAAAGACGACAAAGGCCTCCTTCAGCGCTGGAAAGAGCACTACCATTTATTGCTCAACCGAAACACCGATGTGGATGTCCTGACTACCCAGCAGGTCCCTCAGCATCCAGAGCTAACCCACCTCACCTATCTTCCATCTCTGGATGAGGTAGCTACTGCCATCAAACAGATGGAAAATAACAAAACCTCATGTCCTGATGGAATCCCAGCCGAGGTGTATAAGGCAGGAGGACCTCTGCTTACCAGCCGTCTCCACGCTCTCCTGGAGAATATATGGTAAAAGGAGGAAATCCCACAAGTTCTTGAAGACGCCTCCATTGTCAATATTTATACGAACAAGGGAGACCGGTCAGAATGTGGCAACTACCGTGGGATCTCGCTGCTCTCCGTAGCTGGCAAGATTATCGCCCAAGTCCTCCTAAACAGACTTCTTCCTGAGGCGGAAAACTTCCTCCCAGAATCTCAATGTGGTTTTAGACCATCACGTTGCACCACTGACATGATCTTTGCTGCCTGCCAGATACAGGAAAAGTGCAGAGAACAGCGTCGTGACCTGTACATGGCTTTCATTGACCTAACCAAGGCCTTCGACTCGGCCAACAGGGAAGCCCCCTGGTGGACCCTCAGCCGCTTTGGCTGCCCATCAAAATTCATCGCCATCGTGAGGCAACTCCACGATGGCATGAATGGCAGTGTCCTGCAGAACGGCACCCAGTCAGAGTTCTTCCCCATCAAAACAGGGGTTAAACAAGGGTGTGTACTGGAACCAACTCTCTTTTCCATCTTCTTGGCTGCCTTCCTTACTCGTGCCAGTGCCAATTTAACCAGATGGGTGAACATCGAGTACCGGGTGAAGGAGGGGTCTTTTTAACATAAGACGACTCCAGGCAAGAACAAAGGTGTCGGCAGCTTTCATTACTGAACTTCATTATGCAGACAACCTCACCCTTGTTGCTCACACTGAACACGACCTACAGGAGATCCTGAACACCTACTCAGACGCGTATGTACACTTCGGTCTTGAGGTGAATGTACGTAAGACTCAGATTATCTTTCAACCTGCCCCTGGTTCAGACACACCTGCACCATCCATCCAGCTTAACGGTTCTACCCTCTGCCCACTTTCGATATCTCGGGTCCCACCTGTCCACCACCGCAGACATCGATGAAGAGATTCAGCATCGGATCACATGTGCACATCAAACATTGGGCGGACTCCGAAATCGTGTCTTCAACTGTAGCGAGCTGAAATTATCTACAAAGCTGCACGTATATCGAGCAGTGGTCCTGCCCACCCTATTATATGGCAGTGAGACATGGGTCACATACAGGAGGCACTTTAAGGCATTTGAAAACTTTCACCAAAGTAGTCTACGTTCCATCATTTATCTCGCAGGAATAGACCCCTTGATTTATGAAAGGTATTTACGGAACACCCTATATATATATATATAATCAACACCTCAACCGCCAGGATTCGAACCCAAGGCCCACGAGCCCATGACTGTGACCGGGGAACGCTAACCGCTGGACCACCAGGATACTGGTGGTCCAGCGGTTAGCGTACAGTCATAATCCTGTTGAGGTGTTGATTGTATGTAGAAGTCCGCGTGCTATATTGGGCTAATGAAATATATATATATATATATATATATATATATATATATATATATATATATATATATATATATATATATATATATATATATATGCATAAGAACGGAAAACGCATATATCAAGCCGGATGCAAAGATGTGGCAGGTAGTGGGGGAGAGAGCTCAGGGGTCAGAGGTGAGTGGCCCTGGAGCTATATTGCACAGGGTCCGCTGATGGAGGCGCCGCTGGGGTGAAGGTAGGGGGAGGGGTTGGAGGATCAGGGATGATGGAGGTAGGAGGGCCTGGGAGGGAAGGGAGGAGGAGGGAAACCTGATATTTTTACCTCAGCATTTTGACTCAGGGCGTTTTATATTACTTAATATAAAGACTTTATTCTCCCTTAACGTATTGACCGACGACAGTATTAGAACTTCTTCGAATATGAAGGAGGACGAGGAGAAGGATCTTACTTAAGTCTTGTTTCAGCTGATACAAACTTGAACTGTTGGTTTACAATATCTAAATTATTTTCTACTAATTTGAATGTATTTAAAATCACAGGTCTAGACATTTGTATGTCCATTTGGTAAGTGTAATTAGCTGCATGTGTCAGTTTTGATAAATAAATTAAAATGTTTCCTTGTTGGTCGTCAGAGGGCAGCCATGGCGGAGAGAAGGGCAAGAGCGGTGATGGACCCAAACCTAAGACTAAGAGAAAACCTCGTGTCCTCTTTTCCCAGGTGAGTTAGTCTTACCTCCTGCTGCCCTCAAGGCTTCATATACTGATGCCCATGGGGTGAAAAGGTAGGTCAGGTCAGTATCTGCGTAACTATAAGTGTGTGGGCAGCATTACTCGAATACTGAAAGAGTTAACATTATTCACACTTGCTTTATCAAACTCAGGCAAAACATCTTTTTCTTATATATATATATATATATATATATATATATATATATATATATATATATATATATATATATATATATAAGGAGGTCAAAAGTCCTTCCTCGAGGAAAATTTTAGGGGTGTGTGCGTGTGTGTACACGCGCGCCTTTACTAACGACAACCTCCTTCCCTCATCCTTCATCCCGCCCAACCCATAATGAGATATATTTCTATTAATTTTGTTAATAGCGCCTGAGATAGTATGATGAGGGAGGAGAAGGGTTGGAGCAGCGCTGTGAGGGTACCATGGAGAGGGAGGGTCATGGTTGGGGCAGAGTGTACAAGGAGAGGGCAGGGTTGGGGCATTATGGAGAAGGAGGAACAGGGTTGGGGCATTATGGAGAAGGAGGAACAGGGTTGGGGCATTATGGAGAGGAGGAACAGGGTTGGGGCATTATGGAGAGGAACAGGGTTGGGGCATTATGGAGAAGGAGGAACAGGGTTGGGGCATTATGGAGGAGGAACAGGGTTGGGGCATTATGGAGGAAACAGGGTTGGGGCATTATGGCGATGGAGGAACAGGGTTGGGGCATTATGGAGAAGGAGGAACAGGGTTGGGGCATTATGGAGGAGGAACAGGGTTGGGGCATTATGGAGAAGGAGGAACAGGGTTGGGGCATTATGGAGAAGGAGGAACAGGGTTGGGGCATTATGGAGGAGGAACAGGGTTGGGGCATTATGGAGAAGGAGGAACAGGGTTGGGGCATTATGGAGAAGGAGGAACAGGGTTGGGGCATTATGGAGGAGGAACAGGGTTGGGGCATTATGGAGAAGGAGGAACAGGGTTGGGGCAGCAAGGTGGGGGGGCAACGGTCTGTTGTGACGTGTGTGATAGGTCTTATCTCACCCGGTACACACAGGACGTCTTCCCCTTCCCCTCCCTCCCTCCCTCACTTCCCTCACCTTATTTCTCTTACCAGCCTCTAACTCCCTCTTTCCTTAACTCGCACCTCCTTCCTCATCATCCCCCCCTTCTCCTCTCTTTCTCACTCCCCTCTTACCTTTCATTTCATCCCCTTCACTCTCTCCCTTCACTCCCTCTCTCACTCTCTCCCCTCACTCTCTTTCACTCTTTCTCCTCATTCCCTCCATCTCTAACTTCCTCTCTTTACTCCCTCCTTCTCATTCACTTCAGTCCCCACACTTTAAGCATCCTCCTTCTTCTCACACTAACCTGTCCTCAACATTCCTTCCTACACACACACACACACACACACACACACACACACACACACACACACACACACACACACACACACACACACACACACAAACTTCATCCATACCACCCCCACAAATAAACTACATACGCTGCAACCACAATATTCCCACAGCCACACCACCTCCCTATCACCTCCTCATTACCTCTCCCCCCACCTCCCAACACTACCTCTCCTTCACCCCCATCGCCCCTCCCTCCCCTCCACCCTGGGCCTGGGAAAGTTAGCCAGAGTACACGGCTCTTGATGATGTTTACATATGGCGATAAACTTTCACATGTATCCTGATATGTATACAGGTCGTATACACTCATGTATACAGGTCACAAATATCCATGTATACAGACCACATACACCCATGTATACGGTTTACATAGACTCATTTCTGCAGAGTCCTGTAGATTCATGTGTACGTCATAAACTTCCGTGCTCTCATTTAGATAGGACGCATTTTAATTTGTATAAGATCATAGGAACCTACAGGTATTTATACAGGATCAAATACAACGAGGTGTAAGGTAATATACACTGTTTACAGGTCACACCATGTGTACTAGTCACATATGTATGTCACGTCCGCGCATTCATACAGGTTATAACTGTTTGCCAGTAAGGCAGATGTCGAACAGATCCCTTTCGTTGAGGGTGATCTCAGGGTTACTCATTAAGTTTTGCAAAGTCCCTTTTCCTGTTCTTCAATCGGCGGGTCCTGGGGCAGTTGTTACCATAGTGTCTCTCTTCAACGCTCCCTTTTTTCACAGAGCTTCTGTGTGTTCAATCGCATCCTTAAGATATAATTCTATCTTTCCTAATCTATCGACCAGGAAGACCATCACTGAAGCAAGTTTCTCGGCTGCCTGCGGTGTATCAATGTCTGCATGATTTATTTTGAAAATCATTGATGTTGTCAGCTACTTTCTCCATTTAAACTTATACTTTCACTCTCTACAGTATATTCTTAACATCTGGTGTCAGTTATTGATGTGTGGTGGTATACTGGCTCTCTGCCCGGGGTCCTTCTGGTGAGGAAGGGCTGGGAGGATCCTTTACCCAAGGCCGGATACGCCACAATTCTAACTTGCCTGCTGACCGCCCTCGGCACCACTGTGCGTAGGTGTGACACCTGCTTGCTGCCCCTGCCCAGAGCAGTCCCTGTTGGGAGTAAAAGTCAGTGGCATGACTTGTTACTTTGAGGCAGTGTTGTTGAAGAAGAGTAGGAAGACTAACACAGTCCTTGAGTCACGCCCTAACTCCTCTCCCTCAATTGATACCCGCATAACTTTGTCATGTACTTTATTTCCAGTCAACACTCTCCCTCTTTTTTTTTTAATTTCATCGCACAGTCTTCACAAAACATGATTTCCCCTTTCGGATTTGCTCCTCACGTGAAAAACGACTCGCACTCTTCTGACAATTTAGTCTATTGTCAAGTATTTTTTTTGTGTGTGTGTCAATGTACTATGACCTAAACTGTAATATTATGTTTATGAAATTCAGACCATCATCCCTACTTGGCGTCATCTACGTCGCACACACAAATATCCTTTACCCTTCAAGTTTTATCCCTCCTCCTCCTCCTCCTACACACACCTGCCCTTCTACATATCAGTATGTGTAGGCGTAGTGGAACATACTGACATCCTCATTTAACGTTCCTTCTTTCTTACAGTCCTCATTTAGTAACATTAACACACACACTTATTCGTTGTTGTCAGGTTTATCTCGCCTCACAATTTGTAAGCTGAAAGGAAAAACATAAATTGGCCTAAATATCTGGAACAACAACGAGAGGAGGAAGTGGACAGTGGGAGAGATCAAAGAAGAGAGGAGGAGGGTGGAAGATTGAAGGAGAATGGAAGTGAGCCAGGGAGGGAGGAGGAATGGAGGAGTAAGCCTGAGAAAGAGGAGAATGAGTGTAAGCAAGAGAAGGGGGAGGAGCTCGGAGTGAGGAAGGGAGGTACTCGTGCTGGGTTATGACACAGTGTTTATTGTTTGCTCGACCTACCTGAAGTATATTATGATGCACTACAGTGTCTCAAGGACATGCCTGCACCTCTCAAGTGGTCCTGTGGCCCGAAGGCGTGCTTATATCTGTATATATATATATATATATATATATATATATATATATATATATGTGCGTGTGTGTGTGTGTGTGTGGTCAGAATGTTCGCCTCGCAAGCGAGTGGACCCAGGTTCCATCCCCGGGCAAGGTGAAATCAAGGTCTGTTAGAAGAGGCTATAGACCTTGGCTGAAACCATGGACCACTTATTGGGAACTGGAAATTAATCGATTTGCAGATCGTGTTCTGGGGTAATAGTCAGGCACTGCAGTTCGTTATTGTCCGGTCTTCTCAGATCAATTATTACTTGACAATAGGTCATGCAACTGGTTAACTTAGGGCGTGATTGTTGTGTAGGCGACAGCATCTATATTTTAAAGAAATACATGTCAAGGTGGCCCTAGGGTCGATTATCCTCGAACACGAGGCGCAGCCATTGTATACAGTAAGTATAATAAATAGAAATACGAATATACGCCTTCTTGTGGAGAACTTCTAGGTAAGGTAATTTTTTAGATGAAAATAAGATGATAGCCAGTTGTTGTTATGCATGTTGCCCAGTAGTACAGTACCTGCGGTTACCCCCAAACTGCATTACACCTGAGTTAGGTAGTGCTTCCTTACCGGCGGGGAATGCCTTAGTCAAAGCTATGACCATGCTTTTTTACCTTTTGACCCCTAAACTATAACAACTGGAGGTTAGGGAATATAATTATAGCCAAAATAAACACTGTAGCCTTATGATATGGTGCGGGGGATACAGGTTTACATATTGTCTGCTGATACTCCAACCGTAATAACATGGAAAAGTTGTAGTAAATATGGTGAATAGTAACTTCACGCGTCCATTATAATAACTGCACGCCCCTGTAGTAGGTGCCCACTTTCCCCTGCAGTAGGTGCCCACTTGCCCCTGTAGTAAGTGCCCACTTGCCCATGCAGTAGGTGTCCACTTGCCCCTGTAGTAGGTACCTGATTGCCCCTATAGTAGGTGCTCACTTGCCCCTGTAGTAAGTATCCACTTGCCCCTATAGTGGGTGCCCACTTGTCCCTGTAGTAGGTACCTGCTTGCTCCTGTAGTAGGTACACACTTACCCCTGTAGTTGGTGTCCACCTCCCACCCGTGTACTACATGTCCACTTGCCTCTTGTCCCACTAGTAACCAGTCTTTTCCTACAGGCTCAGGTATACGAGCTGGAGCGGAGGTTCAAGCAACAGCGGTACCTGTCAGCGCCTGAGCGCGAGCACTTGGCGGGTCTACTCAAGCTCACCTCCACACAGGTCAAGATCTGGTTCCAGAACCGCCGGTACAAATGCAAGAGGCAGCGACAGGACAAAAACCTCGAGATGAGCACTGCAGCTGCCGCCGCTGCCGCCTCCATGGCTTCCGTCACCTCCCCCCGCAGAGTGGCCGTCCCGGTGAGTGTATGGCTGGGTGGGTAGGGTGGAGAGTTAATATGAGTGTGTGAGGGAGGGTGAGATGATTTAACCGAACTTTACTTAATTTTACACAATCTCTTCAAAGCTTAATTTAAATAACCTAACTTATCAACCTAATTGAACCTAATCAAACCTAACTTAAAGGCGTAACTCAACTCAACTTGTCTTAAATGTAACTTAACCTAATCTAACCATACTTAACCTAGCATAATCTCACCTAACTCTTAAGCCCCACCCTACCTGAATTAACCTGTCCTGATCTAACCTAGCCATATCAAACCTGTCCTAACCTCTGCCACACGACGCACCAACCCCAGTGAGTCATGGCAACAATATTATTAAGATAACATTGATGCTTATCTCGGTATAGTCTGCGGCTCAACAAGATTTTATACGCACAGATATAAACAGTGTGTAATAATAATAATAATAATAAACGGTTTATTAATAGAGTTGCAGCCGGTTGCTGAAAATATAGACTTACATTTGATTTAGACATAATGATATAATATGCATTGAATACATTTACGGGGCTGTACAGTACATAAATCAGGAGTTGTTTATTATTTTAACAATAGATGGTATGGTGCTGTTCTTATATCTATCGGTGCGGGCTCTTATGGGCTGAATTTTGTTGTAGTGGCGGACTGCGCGAGTTGGGTGGGGGGCTGCAGGTGGCAGGAGGTGGCAATGGCGAGGGTGGTGCAGTAGTCCACAGCCAAACCTTTCCAGTGCTTGGTGGTGGAGGTCACTGAGGGATGGCATTTCCAGGGTGGAGAGAGCGTTGGTGTAGCCAGAGTATTCTGCGCCGAGCATGATTCTGCAGGCCCTTTTCTGCTGTGTGTGTGTGTGTGTGTGTGTGTAATAATAAAAATAATAATAATTAGCCGCTTATTGAAAGAGCATGGCAGCCGGAAGGCTAAAAATATACAGTTGCGTGATTGGAGAATGGGTCTCTTGATTGGCAAATAATATACAAGTAACATAAGTGATACAAATATGATATACAATAACTAGGTGGGGAGAAGGTCATACTACAGGGCATTTCAATATAGTGACAGTGCAAAATGGTAAGATTGATTGGGAGTGAATGCACTGGTTGATTACCAGTTGTTGATAATTTTTACAATAGCTGGGACTGGGTTGTTCTTATAGCGATCCGTATGTACTCGTAAGGGCTGGATGCGGTTGCAATGTCGAACAGCAATTCGCGGACGAGGGATCTCGGGTGGTTATAGGAGCCGGTGTTGAGGATGGTGGAGAAGCTTTTCACGAAATTTGCAAATGAGGTCTTGGTGATGGTCAGAGAGAGCCGAGAGGGTCAGTGTGTTGAGCGCCCCTTGATATGTGGAGTAGGGAAGGGAGAGAATAATCTTGCATGCTCTCTTTTGCTCATTTTCTAGGTGTTTCTGTTGTGTGGCATTTAGGAAGAAGACCAGGCAAGGGAGGCATAGGTGAGCTTGGGAAGTATGAATGTTGTGTGTGTGTGTGTGTGTGTGTGTGTTGGAGGTATTCATGAGGGAAGAGTAAGTAGGGTGGGAGGTAGGAGCAGGCAAGGATGTATAATTATAGTATAATTTTGACATTTGTGTTAAAAAATTTAATTCAATGTTTACATTTTGATTGTATTTGAAATACGTTTGTAAAAGTTATACTGTAGTCTATAGTGACTTGGCCTATCAAGTTTTGATTGAATTTGTTCGTAAGACAACATTTTGAGTGAGTCCGTACAGGTCGTACCGTACAATTAATGAACACGAAAACACTTGTTTGGTGGCGATATTCTCGGTGCCAGTGTGTTCTTGATTTGACTTTATTCTCTTTCTGGCAGATGAGACAATAGCTTTGTGTTGCATTATGAGAATACTGGAACCAGAGAGCAGTTCTTGGTACAGTCGTTTCTATTGTAATTGTACCCAGAAGTGCAATGGTGGCAAGGTAGAACAAGGCCTTTTATTGCTAGTGCCGTGCCTCAAGCGAGGTCTGTGCTCATAGCTACAATTCATAGTTAACCAACCCACGAGAAAAGATTTCTTGCTCCCCTTGGATCCCTAAAAGGGAAGAAGGGCGGCCGCCCACTTAGACCCTCCTCCTCTAAGGTTCTCCTCGGGTGGGGAGAGGAATGTGTGTTCGGTGACAGACACATTAAAGTGTTGTACATTACACTGGTCAGGGAATACTGTACTGATATCATTAACTCATTAAAATCAATGTCTAGCTTTTAATTTGGGAATTAGGTATGATTTACACATAGATCAATAAACCACACACACACACACACACACACACACACACACACACACACACACACACACACACACACACACACACACACACACACACACACACACACACACACATAACATGATAACATATAATAATACCCGGTATGTATTTCATTTCACAGGTGTTGGTGCGTGACGGGAAACCATGTCCTGGAGGATACCCGCCCGCTTACCCCCCCGCCTACACCCCCCCACAGTACTCACCCCCGGCCTACCAGTGCCCGTACACCGGACAGACAGCAGCCTACCCGCAGACTCAGACGTTCAACCAGCAGACACTTCGCACCTGGTGATGCGGGCAGCGGCAGGACCGAGAAGTGGACGGCTACCACTACCACGCCGCTCCAACTAACACATCGATTGTTCCTAGTGCCAGAGAGGACACACAGCGAGCAACCACACGCGTTATGTTCTTAGTGCAGGAAAGTGAGAGCAAGAAAACGTGTGTCTTCTTGCACTCTACGTGTAGGGAAGGAAAGTGAGCAAGAAAAATATGAAATATGTCCTTCCAGTGTGAGGAGAAGTTTGATATTGTTTTCGCTCATACGAAACACGTGAAAGACGAGGAAAATAAATTAAGATGTCTGTTAAGGAAGTACCAGCTTTCCCATAGTACCTGGTAACCGGATGGCTGCATCAGGCCCACACACTCCTCTACCTGGCGAGAAAGACGAAAAGGAACACTTCAACAGAATTGTTAGACACATCGTGCCAAGTAAGGCGGTGAAGACGAGTCAGTTGAAGCACGCTCTCTTGATGCCACAACACCCACCTCCCCATACTGGGCAGGTCGGGAACTGTTCGTCTCTCACGGCGGAATAGTTGGTTCTACGACGTGTTTATCTTACCTTTGTTAATTCCGGGTTTAGAAATTATCAGAAACGATATGATCAATTTTGTGTTCTCTTTACTCCTTGTTAAGGGCAGGACACCCACAAGGAAATAATATTATTTAAGGAAACGTAGTGTCCTCATTATTAATGAAGTAAAAGAATAAATACGATAGAGAAGAAATGTTAAAAAAAATCTTCATGTACAGTACAAAGAGGAAATTGACGTTGTCATGCCATTTTCTGCAGGAAAAGACTGAAACATAATACAATTATATTACAATAATTAAACAAAAAATAATTATAATTAAAAATAATAATACAGAAATGTAATGGAAGCTCCTTCGAAGCATCAAGGAAATGTCATAATTTTTGAAGGGAAAGAAACAAAAGGGAAGAAAAACGCATTTGATTCCGCCGGACTTTTATTTTTTTTTTATTTAATGAAGAAGAAAGCCAGTGACCCATGGCATGAACAAAACAACTAAGTCATTTTTCAAGATGTAAACAACTAAGGGCAATGACACGTAATGTCTTACAAAGCCGGAACTCATCTCCTGGATTTCAAGATCACGAGTGTAAGAACAAAAATAACAAAAAGATACCACAAACAGCACCGAGACTCAACAACTTGAACCATCACAACAACAAGTGTCACAACCATGATCACGAGTACAACTAACGATTTAATCTACAACCAGATATAACAGCAACCTAATGATAGTACAATTTAAAAAACAAAACAATGTTTAACGGGCACAAACTGTAACAAAACTCACGACAAACCAGAAATATAAAAAAATAAACTTACAACCATTAATATTCCTTTCACGATGATCAATCTAAACATAAAACAACTTAATATCTTTATTATCTTTGAAGTCACATCACACTAAGTGCCCGACAACATTTCAAGAAGTATTAGATCCATGGCCATGCTGGGCCGATCACTGTATGGTAAGCGTGGAGAGGTACAGCAGACCTTTGATAACAATGAAGGAGGCGGAGAGAGATGTAGCCTCAGCATCATCCACAGTAAACAGTTTATCTGACATAAGACTTTTGTTAGATTGACCTTTAGGGCATATGTATACTAAAGTTTTTATTAAATTCTGTGACTTTAACCAATACTGTAACATTGACCATTACGGTGACGTTAACCAGGTTTATATTTGTCATTGACTACAATTCCAGTACGTCTTAATGTTTTTGTTGGTTATGTTTGCTCTGAATCTGGTAACAATGTGTGAATGTACTGTAGGACCCAATCAAAGAAAATATTACAAAGATATTATTGAACATATCTTTATTCTCAAACTCATCTGTCAAATGTTTAATTTAGTTAGAACGTATCACACACACACACACACACACAATCAGAACAGATAAACGTTACACTTATTTATCTTATTGCAAATTATTACTGATATTGTCAGTTTTATAGTTTGCGTTAATACTTGCCGCTGGTCAACACTTGGTGTATATTATGTATACTATACAACTAGAAGTAATGGCCTTAATATAAATATTTTAATGTTATTTTTTAAATTTTTAACATTTTGGATTTAAGACAAAATTTTCTTAATAGTTTGATCTTATTTATTTTCTGTCTTTTGTTGTTTATTGCTAAATATACTATATGTGATAAAAAATTGTGACGTTGCGTGACAGAAAATTCATTCGCAGGTAAAAAATACATCTATTGCCTTCATTAATCTTAATACGGAAATATACACGACGATATAGTGCCATTAAATCAAGGAAACATGTAGTTATGAACACCATCCAAGGACAACCAATTTGTATAACTAGATCTTCGTCTTAGGCACAATGTTAAGATGCTGATGCTATATTCATTATGTCACACATTACGTCAGTCACTTTCGTAGTAAATACAGTTACTATATTTACACTCGACTTCCTCGTTTAATTTACGATGAAAAAACATGTTGTAAAATTCCCAGTTAGAATATCGCGCACCGTAAATTGATATTCATGTAGTGACGGAGGCTGTTAGTGGAACCATTGTTTTTGTGGGCTAATGATGTCACTGTAAACATGGACCCACACGACCACAGGGTGTGTGTGTGTGTGTGTGTGTGTGTGTGTGTGTGCGTGTGTGAGAGCGGAAATTACAGCGCTAAAGTTCCCGTAATAAACCAGAATCGCGTTTTGTCCAAGTAATGTTGTCTGGCACTGACTCGGAGCATCAATTCCTTGTTTGACTCTCATGCAAGCGAGGCGTGGTGATAAAGATGTGCTTGTCCGTTTACTCCGTTCCACCCACAAAACGTTCATACGTTCACAATCACTTGTTAATACACTGTCACTGTACACACACCATATAAATAGAGTAACACATTGTGTAATGTATGTATGCATGTATGTATGTATGTATTCCTAAAAGTACATTTATCTTCATATAAGCCAGCCTAAGAAACCATATACAAGGAAGTATAAATGTAAATGCGGATTAACACTCATAGACGTAAACAAATGCATATTAGTCACACACACACACAGGTCATCACCAACAGTCACCCTCGGGAGAAAGAGAGGAAGATTTGGTAAATATACCATCACTGTCATCCTGTGATCCCCTGCCAGTTCCTCCTCCTCCTTTCTCCCTATTACTCTCCCTCTCTCTCCCCTTCCCTCTCCTGCCTTCTCTCCCTCCTTCCCTCTCCCCCCACCCCCAAGTAAACAGTAACCCAATCTCGCTTCTGCCTTGGGACATTAAATGGTCAGATATGTCCATTTAATGTCCCAATAGACATAGTATTGGCTATTGTCCTCTCTGATGACTGGGATGGCGACAGTTTACTCTAAATTAAAGGATTATTGAGACAAACCTCGGTAATTATTAGCACTATCATGACTGCTCATTATCTTATATATACTGGGCGTCATAAGCTTTAGAATATTCTTAAGTTGTCTCATATTTTTTTTTTGTGAAGTTGGTAACTGGTTCTCTGTAACTCACCTGAATGTATAGTGATTCATATTAGTGCAAAACCTATAAATGACGAGAAACAAAATAACTGCAGTCTGTAATACAGATCGTCCTAACTTTGGACCCAGAATACGTAGAATAATAATCCGAAATATTTTATTATATTTTTGGCATTAAAGCGAACTGTGTGGGGTACGGGTTACTGTGGCCCTTCGTAAGGTCTATTTATGCCGCTAAAGTTCGATGTCATATGTGAATTTTTAAGATTCTAAGTTCCATCCAATGTCATTTCATATAATTATTAAAAAAAAATTATTATCAGTGTCAACAAGCTGTACCGAACCGATACATCCGGATCTTCTATGCTGGTCACATACGTTTATGAAGATGAAATATGTTGCAGTAAGTGACATCAAACCTCAGAATGACTAAACTATAAAACTTCAGGTGGTGGTGCTGTTTTAACCACTTGAAGGTAGGTGGTGGTAAAGGTTGGTGTTGTGGCTGCTTGAGGCTTGGAGGAAAGAGACGTCAGGGCGTGTTAGTAGCAAGTTGGCCGTATCTCTCACACTTCCTCCGTACAAGTCCAAGTGAATAACGCTTTGTTGTGTATCTAGGAAGAAATTCGTTTCATGATATGAATATTTGTGCCTTAATGATGGTGTGAGTTATATAGATTGCTGTGGTCTGTTTTAAGAAAATCCTTTTTTTGATATAGTTTTGTGAAATACCACTTAAGCTTTACTTAAAAGCAAACTTGGTGTGTGTGTGTGTGTGTCGATATATAATTCATAGCTGTTACCAACTTCCGATGAATTATCACAATTACTCAGTTACTTATACATTCTTATACATTGATTGATTCCAGGACATTTACTTACTTTGCAGTAGACTGGAGCTGTAGAGTGGGTAGTGTACTGTATACTGTAGTGTTATTGTAGAACATCCAATATTTTCATGTTATTTCTGGTGTCCAGAGAACTCGGTGATATTCGATTTATTTTTAACGAATGAGAGATATTATATAAACTTGTCTGGTAACAGTGACGTGTGTTGGTGATGGTGAGGGCTCTTGGGCATCAGTTCGCTCACCTGTGCCAATGTTTTTATTAAAAAGAAAAGTTTATTTCTCAACAAGTGTGAACCATTTATTGTTATTTTTTATTTTAAGATATTAATTATATACAAAGTTAGTTTATCATTCAGTGACATGTAGGTGACGTCACAAGGAAGATTTAATGCAGAATGATGACGTCTGAAGAAACTATCATCTGAACTACGACGTTTAGGGTAAAATATCAGGTTACTGACAACATAAGGGTGAGCAATAAGCCAACGCCTAATTATTTAACAAATGATGTCAGAGTTACTTGACAAACGTTTAGGATGAACCACCTTATCATATTACCACCTCATTAGTCCCAGCTGGTTGAAGGTTTATCACCTATCACGTCCGCTGTGCAGCAGGAGCAGGATAGACCATCTTTTGATTATTAAATTGCTAAAAGATTTCCAGCGGTTACAGTGTCATCAACCTTTATTTCACGTATGAATTGTCTATAAATCCCATAGCTATAATATTTGTCAGATGATATTAGGATTAGTGTTATTTTTTCAGCAACTTGTAAATAATTTGTGAATAGTCTGAATGCAGATACTAATCTAGTGTGCATCTTTATAAATAAATAAATATATATATATATATATATATATATATATATATATATATATATATATATATATATATATATATATATATATATATACAAAAAATCAATAGAAGAATTCCATGTTGATGAACTCTAATAACAACAGCTAGAGGTTATTCTGTTCTGTACATGTGAACATAAACTTCTGTCTCGTTTGTTTATGAGGTTGAGTAATGTCATTTCTTCCCTGTTGTGTGATTGGGAGTCCTTGGAAGATTCATAAATTATTGTATGTTTTATTTAGTGAATCAATGACTATTTTTAGTAATATATGAAACTCTTATTCATATTACCTGTTACGAATCTTATACACAGATAACCAGTCGCAGCCAAGAAAATGCAATTTGAAAATTGATTGACGGCCACTCCACACCCAAATAGATGCTTACCTCATCGAGGTGTTCCACAAGTCAATCAAAGCAATTGTTTACCTCATGTGTGCGTTCCACAGGTGACGTCACAGAGCGTAAGTTGTAGTCTCATCTCAGAGTGTCTTGCCATAACTTAGTGAAATAATAGCAATATGATTTTGATGTTGTCACGAGGATACGTCCAGCAGTACCTATATTTATCTCAGTGTAATTCTAACACTGCACTAGCGTAAATGGTTGGTTTGTACAATGATGAACGTTTCTAAATCAAATTTAGATTCACAATGATTCATACCAAAAATAAATAATCCCATAAACTGTAAGATGTGGAACGCCTCTCACTCGTTTACACAGATAATAATCAAAATGGTGCCAAGATTTTATCGGAGTCTTCCAAACTTAGCCGAGTTCTATTCTCGTTTATGGGAAAAGTGGGCTTTTTTTAAAGAATTTGGCCATATATATATATATATATATATATATATATATATATATATATATATATATATATATATATATATATATATATATATATATATATATATATATATATATATATATATATATATACACTGTATGAATCTAATGATTCTAAACAATATTCCTACGTTAACAAAGGTTCTAGCTATTGTAATTCTTCAGTGTAAAAACTCTCATTGCGGATTCAGTTTCAGAAACCCTTAGAAAATTTTTATTACAAAAATGAGAATACAATAGAAAATAGGGCAAAGTTGATGTAGCTTTAACTTAATGCTAATGTAAAAAGCTTGTACTTATTTGCCAAAGAATATTGTTCTGTATTTTTTGCATTAAATAAACACGAAACAATTTCTGAAGCTTTGTTTTAGTTTATAATGTTCTAAGTTGTATTATATGCCTCTATTGTGTGACATCTTGTTATCTCACTTCTCCCACTCCCTCCCCTCCTCTTCGTTATCCCTTTCCGTCTCAAGGTGGTTCCTCTCTTGTTTGTTTTCTTGCTTGTCCGGACGATGTCTCAAGTGCATTAAACGTATCACTACTTGCATTTCTTGTGTTTGCACCATACTGAAGTTCATTTGTCGTCAGCGTTATATTCTATTAAGAATTTCGACAGTAACAATACAGTAATGCTGGAATATTTAGTCGTTTCGGAATGGACCATATTTTTTATTATTATTGTGGAGGTAAATGGCTCACCTCAGTCATAGAAGATTTCTTTGCGGTGATCATCTTAAAGAAATGCTTTCAAAACAGTTTCAATTTCACAGTAGACTTTTTCGTCTTATATTCAAAGGCATCATACAAAATGTACCATCCACCATACAGTATTTATTATAGGAATGAACAGAGGTAAGTCTCGTGTCTTTGTGTACACTACAGAGAGGGTGGACATGCATTAGTTCAGTGTATCTCACCCTTTTAGAATACGAAACAATAACTTGCTGCTGACCAACAATAGGAATCTAACACCACCAAGATACTCCGTATTGAAACATACCATTCATGAGTCCTATAATTTGTGGTGGGTAACACGTCTTGGCAATAAAACAAAGAAAAGCATTTCAAATGTTAATGGCGTAATATTATTTTATCTATTCTTGCTCACAATAAATCTTTGCTAGAAACATCATGTGAAGAACACCATGTGAGAGCTCGTGGAAACCCTCGCACGTATAACAATCTGTCTAGTCCTACAGCGTCAGCACCAAAAAAAAAAATCGCTGGTAAAAATCAAATCGCAAGGTGTCCGATAAGTCTTAACCTAAAAGGGAATTACAGCCAGCACAGTAAATCTTTCGAAGTGTTATTATAAAAATATTACATTCATTAAAAATACACATATAGTATTTATGATCAAATACACAATTTTTCATAACTCTGACAAAATGTCTACCAAAGAATTTATTATTGTAGTTCCCTCAACATAGAGAATTTTCAGACATCTTGGTGATGATGATAATGGTGTTGAGACAGGGATCAGTGGTTCCAATACTCTGCTGTTCAAAGCTGAGTAGTGCCCTTCACATCTCTGGATATTGTTCCCTTCACAGTTACACATCTTGCAGTAAATATTACAAAAGCAAAGCAATATTACCTAAAGAATGATTTGCCATATAAAAAAACCGGACATACCTAAAACAAAAGTTAAAATCACCACACACAAGTGTTATTTTCCCTTTTACTTTATCTCTTTGTTTACATTGTCGCTGCCAGGTAGGCGCGCAAAGAAAGCAAAGGTTTGACAAACATAAGAAAATAAGGAGTCTGCAATAGGCCTGTTGGCCTGTGCATGGCAGCTCCTGTCGAGAGTTACTACCACTCTCTATCATCCATGAATCTAGCCAGCCTCCTTTTGAAACTTTCCAGAGTTCCAGCACTTACTACAAAGTTGCTAAGCTTGTTCCACCCGTCCACCACCTTATTATGAACCAGTTTCTTCCTATCTCCCTCACTTGATTAACAAAAGCTTTCAATACAAAAATGAAGAAACAAAGAGTCAACATATAGATTAACTATAGATCTGGTAATGCTTGAGCTGGGCTTGTAAACATTCTTGGGAAATGATGTTGGCGCCCACTGTCTGGATGGCCGTTGCATCATACCTGGGTGTTAATCCACTACCTCACTACAGCTGCAGATATACCACGTGGTCCGGGTAGGTCCTCCAGCTTAAACAGAGTGTTGGCGAAGGTTCTTGTTTCTCATGTGATGAAGTTAGGAATTCATAGTTCTCACCTGGGTGGAGTAGGGAGTCCTCAGTTCTCTCCTGATGTAGTTAGGAGTCTTTCTTTGCTTCTCATCCAGTGTTGGTGGTGGCGAGTGTATGGTGGACAGGGTGTGTCTGGTCCGGTCAGGTCAACATTGACCGCTAAGCACTGATTGTCGCTCTAACAGTTGTTTCTTTCTTTCGAGTAGAAATTGTCACTTTTGTATATCACTTGTGGATTGATGATCAATCTTTGCACTGTACTATTGATGGGAGGATGTTGATAAATCCAGTTACAGAGGAGGAAATGGGGAAAGGGAGTGTGTCTGACAAACCAGGCTGGCAGCTGTCGCAATGGTCAAGAGACCACGTGCAGCGCCGAGGTCCTCACCCTAGACCTAGTGTGTGTGTGTGTGTGTGTGTGTGTGTGTGTGTGTGTGTGTGTGTGTGTGCTTTCGATATCACATGTGTTTTTCTAACCGTGTTGTCCCTACCTCAGTCTCACTCTCTATCATCCATGAATCTAGCCAGCCTCCTTTTGAAACTTTCCAGCGTTCCAGCACTTACTAGAACATAAGAACATAAGAAAATAAGGAGTCTGCAATAGGCCGGTTGACCTGTGCATGGCAGCTCCTGTCGAGAGTTCCTACCACTCTCTATCATCCATGAATCTAGCCAGCCTCCTTTTGAAACTTTCCAGAGTTCCCGCACTTACTACAAAGTTGCTAAGCTTGTTCCACTCGTCCACCACCCTATTTGTGAACCAGTTTCTTCATATCTCCCTCCTAAACCTAAACTTATCCAACTTGAATCCGTTGCTCCGAGTCCTATCCTGCTCGGATATTATAAGAACTTTATCTATATCCCCTTTATTGATTCCTTTCACCCACTTAAATACTTCTATCATATCTCCCCGCACTCTTCGTCTTTCTAGGGAATGCAAGTTAAGTTTCTTTAACCTATCCTGATATGGAAGGTTTCTAAGTCCCTGAATCATTTTTGTCATTCTTCGCTGCACCGACTCTAGTGAATTTATATCCATTCTATAATAGGGGCACCAGAACTGAACCGCATAATCGAGGTGCGGCCTGACTAGCGCAAGATATAGTTGCAATAAGACCTCTGCACTCTTGTTACTTACACTTCTAGATATAAAACCCTATACTCTGTTTGCCTTATTTCGAACATTAACGCACTGTTAATTGATTCCTTTCACCCACTTAAAAACTTCTATCATATCTTCCCGCACTCTTCGTCTTTCTAGGGAATGCAAGTTTAGTTTCTTCCATGCCAGGATAGGTTAAAGAAACTAAACTTGCATTCCCTAGAAAGACGAAGAGTGCGGGAAGATATGATAGAAGTATTTAAGTGGGTGAAAGGAATCAATAAAGGGGATATAGATAAAGTTCTTATAATATCCGAGCAGGATAGGACTCGAGCAACGGATTTAAGTTGGATAAATTTAGGTTTAGGAGGGAGATAAGAAGGAACTGGTTCACAAATAGGGTGGTGGACGAGTGGAACAAGCTTAGCAACTTTGTAGTAAGTGCTGGAACGCTGGAAAGTTTCAAAAGGAGGCTGGATAGATTCATGGATGATAGAGAGTGGTAGTAACTCTCGACAGGAGCTGCCATGCACAGGCCAACCGGCCTATTGCAGACTCCTTATTTTCTTATGTTCTTATGTTCTTATGTTCTTATCAGTAATTCTCAGGCACGTAGGCTGCATTCGTATTCCCCTGCGAAGTTTTATACACTGGGTTCTGTGGTTGGGGGTAATTTGTCATCATCAGCGGCTGAGGATAAGTCATTCCTGCTTGTTGGGGGTAACTCATTGCTAATGGCTGAGGGTAATTCATTAATACTTGTTGAGGGTAACTCATTACTACTGGTTGAGGGTAACTTGTTTCTCCTTGTGGTATTTGATCCATTGCTACCTGTTCCTGCGGCTGCGCCTGAGCGTCGGCCCTGTTCTGCTGCGTTTTGGCACTCTGGATGCTCGCCGTCTGTGGCCTATGCTCTTCTTCCTTTGACTCCTTGGCCCTCTTCTCCTTCAATAATTTCTTGTTCACTCCAGGACCTGGAAGGTCACATCACTATAAGTAAATATATAGTTTAATTGTTCCTTTGTCAACAAAGACTAATGAATAACAAAAAAGTTCCATTCTTGGGGTACACTGTGTCCCCATATTTTAGTCGTACACTTCCGCACGTCCGCCATCTACAGGTATGTACTTGACCATGAGAACCAACGAGATTAGAGTGGCGGTGTACAGCATTTCAACTAACAAATGTAATTTTGTAGCCACCTGGAATAAAAATACTTAATTTAGTGCAGTTTTTAATAATAGTGTAGAGCATGAATCCCTTCATACAATTTAAAAGCCGTTCAGCTTATATAAGTTAGTTCCAAAGTCATAAAACGGAGTAACGGCCTGAAAGTAAAAATTTAATTTCGCGACGTATATATATATATATATATATATATATATATATATATATATATATATATATATATATATATATATATATATATATATATATATATATATATATATTATAAGAAGAAAACACGAAGTTCCCAAGCGCTTTCGTGTAATTCACATCTTCAGGGGTGAGTACAGACTAAGGAGAAGTACAAAACAAGGTGTATATATACAGAGGAGGGTGAGATCAGGTCCAAAGGATTGTAAATTTGAATTCAATGGAGAATATTATGCTAAAAAATTTGGTATGGCAATGGGTATTCCACTCTCACCTGTATTAAGCAACCTATATATGGAGTTCTTTGAAAAGAAACTGTTAAGTAATATTTTACCACCTTCAGCAGTCTGGTTTAGATATGTAGATGATGTATTATGTCTCTGGCCAAGTAATGAGGACCTAAAAGCTTTCCTGCCACAACCTAATAACTTAGCCCCCTCGATCAAATTCACTGTGGAATTAGAGCAAGGGATTTTTCCAGGTATATAGGACAAAGGTCAAGGACAAAGTTGGGCCTTTAAAGTCAGGGAGGGGAGAATTGATAAATGGCAGTGAAGAAATAAGCAAAGCATTGAACAGCTAGTTCTTATCAGTTTTCACAGAAGAAATTTGCGATGAAATTCCGGAGGTGGAACTGATATTTAAGGGAAAGGAAGAAGAGAAATTAAAGAATATCACTATCAGAAAAGAGGATGTTCTTAAGAAGATAAATAAACTAAAGAAAACAAAATCCCCAGGGCGGGATGAAATTTTCCCTCGAGTTTTGAAAGAGTGTAGGGAACAGATTAGCGGACCCCTCGTAAACTTATTTACAAAATCATTAGACACTGGAGTTGTGCCAGAGTTGTGGAAACAGGCAAATGTAGTACCCATATTCATAAAGGGAGACAGAGCATCAGCGTCAAATTACCGGCCGATCAGTTTGACGTCAGTAGTGGGGAAATTTCTTGAATCAATTATAGCAGATAGCATCCTATCGCATCTAGAGAAAAGCAAATTAATCTACGACTCTCAACATGGGTTTACAAAGGGAAAATCTTGTCTAACAAATCTGCTAACGTTTTTTAGGAAAGTCTTCGAGGTAGTAGATAATGACGAAAATTACGATGTTATTTACTTAGACTTTAGCAAAGCATTTGACAGAGTACCGCATCAGAGGCTTCTGAGAAAAATTAAGGCTCATGGTATCGAGGGGAAAGTTTTAAATTGGATAAAATCATGGCTCACCGATAGAACGCAGAGGGTCAGCGTAGATGGTGTTAAATCTGAGTGGGGCCGTGTAACCAGTGGGGTTCCCCAGGGGTCAGTACTAGGCCCACTCTTGTTCATAATCTACATAAACGATCTAGATACTGGGATCAGCAGTGACATAAGCAAGTTTGCGGATGACACCAAAATAGGGCGGCAAATTAATTCAGGGCAGGATGCAAATGCATTACAGGAGGATCTAAATAAACTGCAGGGGTGGTCTGAAAAATGGCAAATGAAATTCAACACCAGCAAGTGCAGCGTACTTAATATTGGAAGAACAAATACTTATAATGTATACAGCCTTAACAACATCAACCTCGAGAAGTCGACTTGTGAAAGAGACCGAGGGGTACTTGTAAGCCCGGACCTACGGCCTACAAAAACAGTGCGCTAATGTTCGAAATAAGGCAAACAGAGTATTGGGTTTTATATCTAGAAGTGTAAGTAACAAGAGTGCAGAGGTCTTATTGCAACTATATCTTGCGCTAGTCAGGCCGCTCCTCGATTATGCGGTTCAGTTCTGGGGCCCTTATAATAGAATGGATATAAATTCACTAGAGTCGGTGCAGAGTAGAATGACAAAAATGATTCCGGGACTTAGAAACCTTCCATATCAGGATAGGTTAAAGAAACTTAACTTGCATTCCCTAGAAAGACGAAGAGTGCGGGGAGATATGATAGAAGTATTTAAGTGGGTGAAAGGAATCAATAAAGGGGATATAGATAAAGTTCTTATAATATCCGAGCAGGATAGGACTCGGAGCAACGGATTCAAGTTGGATAAGTTTAGGTTTAGGAGGGAGATAGGAAGAAACTGGTTCACAAATAGGGTAGTGGACGAGTGGAACAAGCTTAGCAACTTTGTAGTAAGTGCGGGAACTCTGGAAAGTTTCAAAAGGAGGCTAGATAGATTCATGGATGATAGAGAGTGGTAGTAACTCTCGACAGGAGCTGCCATGCACAGGCCAACCGGCCTATTGCAGACTCCTTATTTTCTTATGTTCTAATTGCCATTCCTAGACTGTCTGATACACAGAATAGGTAACACCTTTTAGTTCAGTATTTATAGAAAACCTACTAATGTGTGTTCATACATTCATTATTATTTTGCCCACCATAATAGAGTCAAACAGTCAGTATTTTCAACAATGTTTTTACGTGCTTTGATAATTTGCAGTCCGGAATTCATTGATGAGGAATATAAATATATTTATAATATTGGCTCAAACCTTAAATACCCTAGATCTTTCATAGACAAATGCCTGAACATTACTAAGAAATCTTTTTATAGAACTGATCCCAAGCCCACCCATGACCATAAGAATCTCTTAGTATTACCATTTCACAAAAATTTCTCTCAAATTCCTTTACAACTAAAAACCTGGAACGTCAATGTGGCATTTAAAAACACATGCACTGTAAAACAAATGTTAATCAAGAACTCCCCCAACAACACAATTGGTTGCATTTATAAAGTTCCTTGCAAGGAATGTATTATGTTTTACTTAGGCCAGACAGGTAAAGATCTTGTAACTAGACTTAAACAACATAAATATAGTGTTAGGACAGGCCAGGAATCCAATGCTCTGTTTGTTCATCTGAGAGATAATAAGCATTGCAATGACTGGGATAATGCCTCCTCAATATTACCTTGTAATTCAGTTGACAGTAGGAACAGTATAGAATCTAGTCTCATTAAACATACCGAAGCAGTCAACATGAATTTGAGTAATGGCAGGTACAAACTGGACAATTTTGTAATAAAGAAGATTTGTAACCAAGTGAGAAGGTTGGGTCACCTTACCCTCTGACCTGACTACCGACCGTTGCTGTGCTTTTTAAAGATTAGTAGGGTCATTACCTAATACCTGACCATTGTGGACCTGATCTCACCCTCCTCTGTATATATACACCTTGTTTTGTAGTTCTCCTTAGTCTGTACTCATCCCTGAAGATGTGAATTACACGAAAGCGCTTGGGAACTTCGTGTTTTCTTCTTTCCTTGTGGTTATCAGCATATACCTAGATCACGCGCACCTACAGTGTGTGTTGGTGTGTGGATTAGTGGATGTCATCATTATGACCTGACCTCCTGTTTTTAAGGTCACCCTGTATATTTAAGCCTCTCTCTGTCCATGTAATCCAGTTGCCTCTGAAGATGTCTTGAATAAAGACGAAAGCTAAGGTACTCCGTTGTTTCCATTTTCCCGTGTGATTTCATCAAGATTTATCTTATCCACGTTTTCATTGTGGATTTACATGATATATATATATATATATATATATATATATATATATATATATATATATATATATATATATATATATATATATATATATATATATATATATGTATATATATATATTATTTTTTTTACGGGGAATACCCCCCCCGCCACAGGTTATCATCCCACAACGGGGCCTAGGAGGCCGAAATATAAAAGTAAAAAGAAATTAAAAATAGAAAAGAAAAAGAAGATGCCGGAAAACCGTCTTTTTGAAGTGAGACAGATTGTATGAGTGTGGAAACACAGAAGAAAGCAGAGCATTCCACAGTTTGGCTGTGTGAGGAAAGAAGGATGTACAAAACGGATTATTCTAGTGTGGGCACCGCGGGCAAGACGAGTCTTACGATCCCAGGGCCTTACCGGCAGTACACAGGATGTCAAATCCACCCTGTTAAAGTACCTGTAAAAATGAGAGTGAAGCAACATTGCGGCGAAGAGAAACGGAAGAAGATTATCAACTGAAGGAGAAGAGTCAATAAGACAAAATGCCTTTGATTCCACCCTATCTAACACTTGGATAGAAGAAGAGCCACCCCAGACATGAGAGCAGTACTCCAAGTTAGGACCAATGACTCCCTTATAAACTTAAAACAACTTTACTACATTCAGGCTTCACTAGTCTTTCCTTGCACCTGATCAGTTAGTACAAAAATAAATATTGTCACTAAAATAGTCACTACCTTCCCTAGGCAAGCAATAATTTACTTGCGATGTCTAGCCTCTGCCTTGTGTTTCATGTAAGTTATGAATTTAAATAGCCGCTTACATGTTACAGGTATTTGGCACGTCCAGTTCTACGATCGTGTATACGGTTTTCTTGTCACGTCATGTTTTTACAGTTTTAAGAGAGGGCAAACCTTCAGGGCGTTTGTATCACAGGAGGTAAGGTTAGGGCTAATTATATGCGTCAGATTGGATTTAGTTAACCAAAGATTAAGTTGTTTAGTTGAAACCAGGTAACAGCATACATGCCCACGATCCTAATTCTCAAGTAAAGTACATACATTAAATGAGGAGATTTTTCATATTCTCTTTGTAAAGAATGAGGGAGGGAGTT